CTATTAAAAACTATCGAGAACCGAAAATCAAATTAGAGCGTCATGAAAAACTATCTACAAACACAAAATCGTATATTCAAATTCAATATGAAAATCTATAGTAAAGAAGATTAACGTGATTACAAATAAGCGTCATATTGATCAACCATAATAACATCAAATCTAACCCTAAAAGAACAAAAATAAAAAATAATAGTTAAACGATCGACAAAGAAGACTAAAGACACTTTCATTTCAAGTATTGAAATTTGGTTCAAATATTTATATCGGCATAGTCAATAATATTTTTTTTTGAATTTGTCATTGATTTAATCTTATAAAACATCATTAATTTTTTCGATCATCATTTGTTGCTGTAATATTGATACCCAAATATTTATTTATAATTTATATTATTTCTGTTTAGAATGATTTTATGGGAAATCCATTTAAAATGGATAAACTTCAAAATCTAAACAGTGAGATGGTTACATCATTTGTTCCTTGCTCGTGCACGCCACAATATCTTAATGTTGACGATAAACTTATGTGTGTTTGATTTTGAAAGGGGACAGGGTGTTTCTAGTCCTTGAGAGAATTGCCCTGCTTGTTTTGGCCACCTCCTCCGTGGGTAACTTGTTCGGAATCAGTGATTCCTTCAAGGAAACCCGTTTAGATGCTCTCCAACTCCGATCAGTTTGCCGTTCATGACATTCCTTTCCACCAAACCTTTGCTCGAATATATCCCATTTTCCATGTCACCAGAAATACCTCGTTCCCCGCCGGAAACCACCGTAACCAATGTAACCCCGTCACCGTGCAGCTAATCTTGCGGTCGATATTGGTACAATCTCGTGATGCTCACCTTGTTACATCGATACGATCAGGTGAAAATGAAAGGACTTGACTTGAAAATGTGCATGGTGTTCAGGATATTATCACCTTCGATAACAAGTTTTACGCCATTGATCAAACGGAAGAACGACCGTAGTTGACCGTTGTTTAAACGTTGGCTTTATACAACATTTTGATCGAAATGCTCGTTGTAAGAATCCACAGGTCTAACTAGTCGGTATTAGCTCACAATAGGAGATTTAAAAAATATCAAAACTTTGAAATTGATATTCCTAATGCAAAGAAATATACAAATATTAGATTTACCCATATTCAGACACCCAATGAAACTAAACAAATGGTTATGAATCTTTGGTTTCAGTCTCTCTCGGGAGCATTCTCCGAAACTCTTCTTGCGCTGAGGTTCCCGGTATACGACCACACCTTCTCAAACTCGGATGCATACGGTTTCTCGTGTATCCAATCAGGTTCTTCCTTAATACCATTTCTCTTCAAAGATGAAGCTGCCCTTCCTGGACTTCCGGTAATCGGAGATGAAGAAAAGGTCGGCGTCGCGAACGGAGAGGCATAAGGAGTGTGTTGAATAGAAAAGGGACTGGGAGACATTCTCCTCTGTATGGGCCGACTGCTTAAGCCGCCCCTGCTGAAAAGGGCGATCGATTCGGCTTCAGCACAATGCTTGACAGCATCATCAACATATAGGACATCATCTATCCTTGCCATAATGTTGAAGGCCAAACTCTCCATCACCCTTGAGTAGCTTTCAAGAATTGATTGCCCAACGTCCTGCAATTAAAAGATTATGAGGTCTATATAACCTAAAACAATGAGGTCGATTCGAATCACAAATCGAGTAACGGTGGGAACCACTGCTTACAAAATGTACCCATCAAGTAGAGGAGGTTCACCTTTCACTTCAGAGATTACCAAAACAAGATAACGTGGTTTGTAAATTCACTCAATATAGGCCCCCCATTATCCCCTATTAAAATGCTGTGGTCCCAAGATCATGGATGAGTACACATTGGCAAAAGATACAAGGAAGTACTTATCCAAAAAAAAAAAAAGATACAAGGAAGCAACATAAGTTGGTCCTATTCCTCCCAAGGAGCTACCATATCTCATTTATTAGGCCACATGGTTAGGCGGACACGACGAAAGATTCAATGTGAAAATACCTTGTTATATTGAATTTTGTTCATATCCAATGCGGTCTGCGGGAGGCCGGGAAAACGAACCCTCAAGCTATGTAAGAGAGTCTCAGCTCTTTGAGATAGAAAGTTGTTCCTTTCACTGTCAGAAACAAGGCCCTTGACCTTTCCTCCCCACGAAGAACGCCTACCTTTTATGTGATTCATGTGTTTCCTATGATCTTTCTGCTTCCAAACATGTACCGCTGCCTCGATCCTGTTGGCTGTTTCCAGAGTGTGATGTTCCGTTGACAGATCAAGACAATCGAGGAGACATTCAGGCGAGAACTGATCCGCTGTCATGTAGCGGTAGATAATATCTCCCAGACAAGCCTTTCCATTCTGATGACAAGAAAAATATGTTAACCCTTCAAGCAGATATAAGGTAAATCATACTAAATCACAATTAGCTACGCCAAAATCCACCTCGCTTAGTTAACAGGTCTCTTGATAAAGATGCTCATTAGCTTGACAGATCAATGTTGACTACCTAATACTAACATTTAAGAAATCTCACCCAAAATGTAAACAACGCATACGGTTTTCGGCATGACTGCAAGAACTTCAGCTGCTCGAGAAACAAAGCAACATACCTTTGGTAATGTCTCCAAGTAAGCAGTAGGTATCTCCATCTCGGCGAGCACACTGTTATTAATCGCCATGGCTGCCTTCAGTATTTGGTTTGTGTTATCCCTACAATGTTGCAACTTCTTCCTTGTATCCTCTGACAAACCATTCGTCGGCACTTTCGGACATGGCAACCACCACTTCTCTTCCTGCCTAATAGAGGGCCTCCCTCCAGAAACAAATGGATAATAAGCACCAGAGTCCCCACCATCACCCACGACTATCCCACGATCAACGTACCAAAACTCTGCCTCTCGAAATCCGTCAAGCATGGTAATCAAAATCACATCGAGCTTCTTAAGGGCTGGAAGACTTATGTACAAATCCGACCTTGGCCTTGTCACCATGACTTCATATGTTCCTCCCCCTGGGAATTGTTGTATTGAAGGTACAAGTTCAACGATCGAATCGCTCACACACAAGAGCCACTCCATTTCCCGCCTCCACATTGCCTTCTTCTGCGGGGCTAATGGCTCTAATCTCCATAGCTCACCGAACACGGTGGCTGGCATTACAAAGAAGAGCACCCATTTAGCTTAAAAGAAGGTTACACAAAATGCAGATATATACATACCACAAGGAATTATAAGCAAAATGGAGCTAACCGGAGAGATTCGTGATCGCATTCGAAATAGCGAGTGCAGTACACACTCCTTTCCCACCTCCAGACATGTCTTCTCCTAAAAGAAGCTTAGCAAATCTCTCCTTCATCATCTCAACTCCTACATGATATGGAAAACATTGCAAAACCCAGGTAAATGCTTAATTATCCCAAAATTCCTTCATAAAATATAAAAATGAACTTGATATGATACAAAATGATTTAACAGGTGCAATTTTTCCTTTAATTTTCATCCCTACTTGGATTTGTTTGTTCTTTTTTAATATTTGATTTAGTAATTTTTAAGGACAAAATTAGAAACAAGCAAATCGATGTAAGAAATATACAAACCATTTTGAAAGATTTTATTCTAATTATAATGCAAAAAAAAAATGAAGAAACCGGAAATACCGGACAAATCGGTGTCACGTTTCTCAATCTTCTCGTCGTCGTCATCCCAAATCACGACATCCTTCCCACCAATCACTGGCACCTGAAAACCGAACCCTCCGGCAGCCATTAACCTCGGGGATGACGTCATCGAACTGGAACAGCCTTCTCCATCGAAACGCCGACACGAGAAGCTGCTGCAACTCTCGGATTCGCTGACGTCAGCGCTCAAACTGTAGCTCCCACACCGCTCGCTCTGCTGATCGGAACCGTCGTCGGAACATTCACTTGCCATGATATTTTCTAATCGCAAATTCCAATGGCTTTAAAAAAAGAAAGCCCTCAGACGCATTTGCTAAACGAAGAAGAAGAAGAAGAGAGGTGGGTCTTTCCCACTTGTAGCAGTGAAGTAAAATATATATATATATATATATAAAGTGAAAGATCTCGTAAACAAGTTTTCGTTTCTTTTCTTTTTCACCTTTCTCTCTCTATATTAGTACTGAAACTTTTAATTTGTTGCGTTGCTCTTTCTCTCTCTCTCTTTCCATTTGTGACGGTGTGTTTGTGTGCGCAAAATCTTAAAGAGACGGCTTTGCCCAGTGCTTTGTCTTTCCGTCAAAGCTCCTCCATGCCCCTTAACCCACCCGACAGTAGCCTTTTTCTTTGCAGTTTGGACCCCACTCCTCCTCTCAATTCCCCCTTTCTCGCCTGTAAATATTGGATTGGTTCAACGACTTAAATCAATAATTAATACTTTGGATCATTAGACTATATCAATGAAATAAAAAATATATATACTTCATTCCAAACGTTACACTTTCTAAAATAAGTTTAGTGATTTTCTTTTCAATGGTAACATTTTAGGGTACATAAGTAAAAATAGAATTCCGACATTTATAAGTAAAAGACAAGGGAACATTGGTGTAGAGTAGAACGGCTAATCAACGACAGCGCCAGCTCCAGTTTAATCTAATAGGATAAAACATTATATTTTTAAATGAATTTAATAGTTTGAATCTTAATTTTGTAAAAAAGTTATTCATAATTAGATTTTATAATATTTAATTTAAATTTATCAATTAAAAATTAAATACTACTCCTAGTTATATAAATAAAATACAAATTATCCAAATTATTACAAATTTAAAAATCTAAATCCAAAGGATTGATATTTTAACTGGTTAATTTTTTTTAATTTTTATTAATTATCTTTAACGGACAAACCAATCTATCAAGCCAATTGAAGAATAATAAATTGATCCATTGGTGATTCAACCAATTAAATCAATTTAAAGATCATTAATTTGGTCGGTTTGACCATTCATTCAGTTTCATAACACTAAATGCCGCTATAACTAAGAGACCATTCACGGTTACTTACACAAACTTTTTCTCTGGCGAGGCGGTGGCCGCCTCCACCACCGTTCTTGCTACTTTTTTCTATTTTTCGACCATTTCTTCCAAGATCTCAACAGCCCAACACAATGACGTTGAACCCTTTTTCATGTTCTTTGAATAAGGGTTTGGTCGGCCCTGCTCTGGTGTATTTGGATTTAGGATTCGTCGGCTTTCGTCCACAATTTTTCTTCTCGTTTGATTGGGTGTTTCTCGTCTAGCTTGGTGAGTTCGACTCTCTCTTTCTTCCAGCTGTGATTATATTCCTATCTCTATTTGATTGCTGGTTCGTGCTCGAGCTTCGGTTACTCTTGACATGAGTTTCAAAGTTTTTGAGATACTGTGTGGGTTTCTGTCAGTTTATGGAGTTAGATTGCGATAGTTATTTCTGCTCGCAAGATGTTTGTGTTAAAGCCATAGTGAACCAATCTTTTGCTCGTTTGATAAATATAGTATGAGGGTTTATGGCAGATTATGGGTGCTATGGTGAGGCCATATGTGTGTTCTATCCATAGAAGAGGATTCGAGTAGGTGCTAGGTTTGGATTCGTTAATGATGTTGATTCTAATTGTGATTTTCTCAAGGTTTTAGCCTCTGCATAATTGTTTAAGTTAGGTGCGTGACTTTAAGGGATGAGGAAGTTTTAGGTTTTGGTTTTTGAGGTTCTTGTCATGGTTTGTAAATGATGTCCAATGTCTGATTCTGTGTTTCGTGCAATGCTTGTTGTCTATGCGATTTGAATTATGTGCGATCCTTCGTTGTTTGGGGAGCTGGGTAATGCGTTCTTCCTGCTCTTGTAGTTGGGTTTTGAAATGGGGAGGCAAAGCTTGTGCAGTTGTTTCTATGGTTTGGGTGTGTTGTGATGTTATTGCTTTGCGTTTTACAAGAGATGTTTTGGGTCAGCTGGGTAGGTTTCAATTGTTTTAGTTCTCTGGATTTTGCTTATGTTCTGCTTGAGACTTTTGGCAGGTTATGTAATTTGGGAGCTATCTTCTCTGGCAGTCCTGGTAGCAATCGAAGCTTTCTGGTTCTTTTTTTCGATTGAATAGCTCTTTTGTAGTTCGAGCTACATTGTGTGGGTGAGGCGGTGGGTGTCGTTGTACCAATCTTAAAACTGCTGAAGAAATATTGAATGTGAGTATTTTTAGTTGGATTATAGATTTTGATTTAATTTCACATTCCATCATACTAAAATGTTTAGATGGGTTATAGATTTTGAATAGCAAGAAATGTTTGAATTTCAGATTCTGTCATACTAAAATGTTCAGCTAAAATGTTTAGTTGGCTTATAGATTTTGAATAGAAAGAAATGTTTGAATTTTAGTTTCTGTTTTAATTGAATTTCAGATTGTCTGTTGAAAATATTTTTGATGTTTCAATATAACAAATAAAGTATTAATGAATTTTAAGATTTTATATTAAATTCAAATATAATATTCGATTCAATTAATCGAATATAACAAATATTACTCCAAGTTTTCAAATATCAATTTTACTCTTTACTTAAATAAAATTTGTGTTTTACTCTTAAAAAAATTTCAAACAATTTTTACAAAGTATTTCGAACCATAATCGAGTCAAAATTCAGTTTTAATAGTGAAGTAACGATACCTCTTTAATGGGTATTGATACCCCTCAAACATCGAATGCAAAAGAGGTATTAATACCCTAAAGGGTATCAATACCCCTTTACATAGAGGTATTGATACCTAGCCAAAAGGTACTGATACCCCTCATGTTGATTTTGACTCCGAGAAATGACATAATGCAAAATGGGTATCGATACCATGACTGGTATGGATACCTCTTTACATAGTAGTATCGACACCCCCTTGAGAGGCACCGATACCATCAGTTTTGCAACGGTCAAAATATTTGAATTTTATACAGGTAGTATCGATACCCCTATGAAGGAGTACCGATACCCATACGTTCCCAACAGTTTTTTGAAGTGGAAAACATACAACAACAGCTCTATTGACTTCATGATCATCCCCAACGTTTAGAATTCATTCAATGAGTATTTAAACAAGTCTTAAAGTCGTTGATGAACAACAAGAAACAAGTTTTGAGAAAGAATTAAAAGAGAGAAAGCCTTAAACTTATTGTTTGAGCAATTCAAGCCAAAATCCATTCAATATTCATTTTGCTTTCAAGAACACCATTTGTGCTCAATTATATTCATACTTAAGTGTTCTTTCTTTGTTCGAGAATTATGCAAACATTCTACCATGTGAGGTTTTTCTTCAAGTTTGCAAAGTTTGTAATTTTCTCTTTGAGAATAGAGTGTCTCAATAATTTGGGGTATATTTCTTGAGAGAGTTGTAAGGTTACTATTTATCCTCAAAAGAAAGACAAATTAGTGAATTTGTGGAAAATCCTTAGTGTAGATAGCTAAGGTAGTGGATGTAGACTTTGATTAAGAAAGTCGAACCACTCTAAATCGATGTACAAATCTTTTCAATTTTCTGTCAAAGCTTCCACCAAAATTTTAATTGCCAATTTACATCCTCTTGGATTTTTCATCTGATTGATTAACTCATAAATTAGAATCAAAGCTACACTCATTTGAAGGTCTTACCACCTCTTGAGAAGATATGGGAAGTGTCAATCGATATTCAAGTCAGCAATGGCCTCTACATCAAACTTCGACTTCGTTCTTGATTCACAGCCCGTCAACAAGCTTCCATTATTCCATGGCGCTAATTACGTCTATTGGAAGAATAAGATGAAGTTCTTTATTCAAGCATGTGACATGGGAGCATGGAAAATCATGATGAGAGGATACTTCGAACCATCCACAGATCTAGACATGTGGAGTGAAGAAGAGACGAGCTTATTCCAGCTCAACTCAAAAGCAATCCATATTCTTTTCTGTGCACTTGGACCAGATGAATACGGGAGAATATCATCTTGTTCAACCACCAAGGAGATATTGGACAAACTTCAAGTCACACATGAAGGAACCGACAAGGTAAAAGAAACCAAAATTAATCTTCTTACTCATATCTATGAAAATTTCAGGATGAAACCAGATGAAGACATCAAAGCTATAACGAATAGATTTTTCATAATTGTCAACGATCTCAATGGATTCGGAGAAATAATTCCTAATGAGAAACTTGTGAGGAAGATATTTTATTCTGTTCTAAGTACTTGGCAATCAAAGAAGACTGCAATTATCGAAGCTAAAGACCTAAAGTCTTTAACTCTCGATGAGCTTATTGGTTCTCTCCTCACTCATGAAATGATGATTCAAGATGAGGTAGAGCATGAGAAAAAGGACGATACAAAGAAGGAGATGGAGAAGAAGAAGAACGTTGGTGTTGCTCTCAAATCCACCAAAGATGAGATTGATTCTAACGATAACGAGGATGAAGAAATGGCTTTGCTTTCCAGAAGACTCGAAAAATTAATGAAGCCAAATAGAGGAAGAAAATTCCAACGAAATGAAGGCTTCAAAAATGAGTCAAAGGAGAAATACCCAATTATTTACTATGAATGCAAAAAGCCTGGGCATGTTAAATTTGATTGCCCACAATTGAAAAAGAAGGGTCTCTCAAAGAAGAAGCACAAAGCACACGTAGCTACTTGGAGTGATGATGATACATCCAATGAAGAGGAACAAGAAGTAGTTAACTTGTGCTTAATGGTCTTCGGGGAGGATTCTCAAGTAACCTCTAACTCATTTGATTTAGAAGATTATTCATTTGATGAGTTATTAGAGGAATATAATGGTTTGGCCTTAGATTTGGAGAAATTATTTTCAAAATACAAGAAAGATATTTCAAAATTGAAAAATGAAAAAGATCTCATATCCAAGACAAGCACTAAACTTGGAAGTAAGATTAAAGATATGCAAGTCGCAATCAATGATTTTGAAAAGAAAAATTATGATTTGTAAAACTTACTTTCTAAAGTTTATGATGATCATCAAAATGAAATTGATGATCTTAAAGCTTCTTTCAATAAAGTTAGAACAAAATGTTTTGAAAAAGGAGAAAATTCAAAATCCAACTATATTAGAAAGAATTTTAAATATTACAATCATAGAGGCCCCTAAAGAACCTCAAATGTTAAAATCATTAGGAGTATATAGGTTCCTAAAGGACTCAATACTACTAAAGATAAGGATATCCTAAACAAATGGATACCTAAGGGGACAAGGCTTTAAGGAACTAATGAATATGGACCCAAAAGAATTTGAGTACCAAAAATTAGAAATTAATCTATGTTTGTAGGAAAATGAGCATTGCTTCAAGGCACGAAATACAAGCTCAAATATATGGTACCTTGATAGTGGATTCTCAAGACATATGACCCGGAGACAAGAGCCGGTTTACTGAGCTTAAAGATAAAAATGGAGGAGTGGTAACCTTTGGTGATAACTCAAAAGGTTACATAGAAGGTATAGGTACTATAGGTAATACCTCTTCCATACAAGTAGAAAATATTTTATATGTAAATGGGTTAAAGCATAATCTACTAAGTATTAGTCAATTGTGTGATAAAGGATACAATGTCTTGTTTGAATCAAATGGTTGTAAAGTTGTTGACATTGCATCTAATAAGATTATGCTTATTGGTCATAGAATAGGAAACATATAAATGGTGCATTTAGATTTAATTAATATGACTAATTTATGCCTAATTATCAAGGATGAACAGGATAGTTGGTTATGACATGGAGACTAGGACATACAAGCATGAGTGTTTTGCAAAGACTAATTCAAGGTGATTTAGTAAGAGTGTTGCCAAAGCTAAAATTTGATAAAGATAAAATCTGTGATGCATGTGCAAAAGGAAAACATAAGAAAGCTTCCTTTAAATCCATTAATGATGTATCAACTAGTAGAATATTACAATTGAACCATATAGATCTTTTTGGGCCAATTAGAACTATTAGCTTGGGTGAAAAACAATATGCCTTTGTGTTGGTAGATGACTATTCTAGGTATACTTTTCTATTTTTAAGTACTAAAGATGAAGCATTAGAAAATTTAATCACGTTTTGAAAAGTAATCCAAAATGAAAAAAAGTTACTCCATTTCAAGTGTTAGGAGTGATCATGGTACTGAATTTGAAAATCTTGGATTTACAGAATTTTGTAATTCAAATGGGATTAGCCATAATTTTTCAGCACCTAGAACCCCTCAATAAAATGGAGTTGTTGAGAGAAAAAACAGAACTTTAGAAGAAATGGCTAGAACCATGCTTTATGAAAACAATTTGCCAAAATATTTTTGGACGGAAGCCACAAATACCGTTTGTTATGTAATTAACCGAGTAATGATTAGGCCTATTTTAAAGAAAACACTATATGAAATTTTCAAAAATAAAAAGCCTAACATTAGCTATTTTCATCCTTTTGGATGTAAATGTTTTGTTTTTGAACAACAGTAAAGATAATCTTGGCAAATTTGATGCTAAAAGTGATGAAGGAATTTTTCTGGGTTATTCTTTAAATTCTAAAGCTTATCGAGTATTTAATAAAAGAACTTTAGTGGTAGAAGAGTCTATCCATGTTGTTTTCAATGATAATACTCTTACGAGGAAGGATTCTTGTGTTGATGATGACGTAAGTATTATAAATACAAATGACTTGGGAGAACCATCATCAAAGGAAGAAGTAAATGATGAGGAAACTCAAGATGCCTTCAAGAATCTAACCATTGAAGAAAGGTAAGTCACATACCCAAGAGAGTACAACTATGTCAAGGATGGTGAGATTTTAGGCGATTCATCCAAAGGGGTAACTACTCGATCTTCTCTTAGGGATATTTGTAATTATGTTGCATTTATCTCATGCATAAAGCCTAAAAATGTTAAAGAAGCATTAACCGATGAAAATTAGATTATGACTATGCAAGAAGATTTAAATCAATTTGAGAGAAGTAGAGTATGGACATTAGTTGAAAGGCCTAGTAATAAATCTATTGTAGGTACTAAATGGGTATTTAGGAATAAGCTTGATGAAAGTGATAACATAGTGAGGAACAAGGCTAGACTTGTTGCTCAAGGCTATACTCAAGAAGAGGGAATAGAATTTGATGAAACATATGCCCCGTAGCTAGGATGGAAGCTATTAGAATGTTGTTGGCATTTGCATGTTTCAATTATTTTAAATTATATCAAATGGATGTTAAAAGTGCATTTTT